CTGCCACATGTGTGGATCACTAGTCTAAGGCAATGTTTGTTTGGCGGACTGGATTAGCATTCTCATGACTAATAGTCCTAGAATTACGAATCCGTTGGATTATGTATCCTATCTTAACTAATAGTCAAGTTTAAAATAATTAGTCTGTACTTCAATTTTTTAACCAAAGATCGGATTAATAATTTTATTAGACTATTAGTCCAATCCCAAGCTCATGTCCATCCAAACAAATATGACCTAAGTGGATAGTTAATCCTTTGACTCATATCGCTAACCAAACCCTCTTTAAATAAGTTTCACAAATTATTAACCTAATTTTAGAAAGAGCCAAACAAACATAATGTAAGAATAAAATTTATCCCTTCATATGTTGCAGCCTCTTGAAGTGAACCTAATGATGTAATAAAATTGTCATCATCAAACACATCGGGAATGAAGATAAATGTGGATGACTATTGAGAAAATGCAGAGGAAAAAAAAATAAAAAAAAGAAGAGAGAAGCACCATAAAAGGTTTTAGGACCACCTATGACCTGTATGTCTCTTGCCCTAACCAAACACATTGAGAATTTAACCAAAGCTTGAGTGGAAGTCTTTAGTTCAATGTATCAACTAAGATATGAAGGAGACTTGCATTTTCCACTTAATTCTAGTTCCATTTGAAGTTCACTACTCAACAATCTTTTTCTCTGCCCTTCATTTTTTTCAATGAAATCAACCTTTTGGACCACGTTATGGTGGATGTCTGTCAACGGATTGAGTGTAACTTTAAATCCCTCTGATGTATCCAATTTTGTTTGACAAAATCCAATTTGATTATCAAATTACATCAGAATCAGTTTATTTTAATTTTAAACAGAACAGATTAAGATAAATCCTATCCAATCTAATTATTTATTAAAATACCAAAACTAATCCTATGTGTAATAAAAGTGTAATGTGTTTGTATGTTTAATCCAGTATAATATACCAAAAAGGTTCATATATATTAATTATGTATAGCTAGTTAAAATGGATGTCAATACGTTATAATGTGATATATATATATATATATATATGGGAGGTTATTTCCGAAGATACTGGAGTCCGAGAAAAGTAGATAAGAGACAAAAGTCTTAGAATGAAAAAAACTTCAGTTTAGATAAAGATAAGACTCTTAGAGAGTTTATTCCAATCCTATTGGGAATCCAAGATTAGCAGTAATCTAAAATCGATTGAAGTTAGGCTTCTATTAGGATTAGGTTTATGATGATTATCAAAGAGAGACACCCCCATGGATCTAAAGATACGCATTTTATATTTTGAATAATGAGTTAAGCACTTTGGTCATGTTTGAGAGATAACAGACTTGATCGTTGGAGTGCTTCCGGATGGACGAACCACCGCCGGAATTTCCGGTTGAATACTAATTTGACAGTATGGTCAAAAATCTACTCACACACATATATATATATATATATGGACATTGATTTAGACCCCCTTAAAACACTCACCCCACAACCCCCTCACACACATGGAGGTTGGGGATTGGGTGAAAAAAAAAAAAAAAAAAAAAAAAAAAGTTGACCAATCAAAACTAAAGGGGGTCAAGGGAATGACCCCCAAAGGGGGTCTCAACCTTTATTCTATATATATATGGAACGAATTTAATTTATAGATTGGAAGTAGTCATCATCAAATTTGTTAAATTATAATTCGATGAATGGCTAATCAATTCATATTGAATAATTTAATACATTGACAGTAATGAAAATATAACTTAAGCCTATTTTGAAAAGTAGGTTAAAAATTAATTTTTAAATTTTTAAAAATATATATATAAAAGAATAAAAAAGTGGTATAAGTTAAAGATATTAAAAAATTAAAAAATAACTTTTAATTATATTGCCAAAATAAGCCTTAAAATTAAAATAACCCGATGTAATCGATGATGCTGTGTACCTTGTCAGGTTCCTTAAGGAATGAATCAAATGATATCCCCAAATTAATTAAGAAAATAATGAGCAAACGAAAAAGTACTAGTACAAAAATGAATCTTCTAGTACAGGAATGGGATTGAAATTAAGCCCCGGTTGGTACAAGAATAAATATCTACCTGCACTGTTTCTTTTCATTTCTTTTTTGTCATTTGCGTATTGTTTTTTTACATGGCAAAAAGTATCAGAGTATCCTTTTAAATTACAAGGCCCTTTTTCCCAAGAAACAGACTGTTTTCAATTACAATGACATGACATAAACGCTGTCTTTTGGTAGAAAATTTGGAAATTGATTTAAAAATATAAATAAATAAATAAAAAATATTTATATTTCATTTAATTTCACACATTTTTTTTTAAATCTCTTTTTAAATCTCTCAATAAAATACAGTATAAGAAATTTAATATTGATAGTGTTTGCAAATATTATAAACACAACTTCATAGAATAAATGGGGAAAGTGTTTGCACGTTGCATTTGGTAAGAAATCAGAAAAGAAAACAAAAAAATTTGCACACACACAACAACAACAACAACAACAAAAAAAAGAAAAAAAAAAAGAAAAAAAGAAAAAAAGGAATAATGTACTTGGTATACACAAGTTTTCTAGATAAATAAAATAAAAATCAATAAAACATGTTTGGGAGAGTAAAGTTGTTAAACAAACCAAACTACTGTCGCGCTATTCATATTTGATTCGTTAAAAATTTATTCAAGATTAACTTGTTATGTAAATAAACTAAACTTGAATACATTTTAATACTCGTTAAGTTTTCAAGTCAAGTTTAAAGAACATACTATTCAACTCTATAAATTTATATGCATTATAAATAAGTCAAATTATTCAAACTCGACTCATGTTTAGATCATCAAAAATTTGTTCAAGATTGACTCGTTATATAAATAAATTAATCTTAAGCACATTTTGCAACTCATTAAATTTTTTAAATTAAAACTTAAAAAATAAGTAACAAGAATAATTCATACAATTATAAAAATTATTTTTATATAACTTTTAACCAACATTCATTGTCACTTCAACCCATCCACTTACATGAATCAAAGTTTGAGATAGTACATTGTGAGGTGCTTTACTCGCCCACCAAGGATCCTCTAGAGTGAAATTTTCCTAAAGTTTCCTAGAGTGCTACATTGTGTGGTTGAGATTTACTGACAAGTCACATCAATTTTTCTGATGTGACTTGCCAGTAAATCTCAACCACATAATGTAGGAAACTTTAGAGAAAAATCACTCTAGATGATCCTTGCTCTTACTCGCCACCTCCCAATCTCCCATCTTTTTCTCGAGAAAATTTGTAAAAAAAAAATATCAACCTTAACATCACAAAAAAAGAAAACATAGGGTGTTAAATGTCAAAACCCAAGAACCTCCTAATTTGTCCAAATGACAAACAAGAACAACCGAAAAGAGGGGGGGCAAACAAAATGATCTTTGCTAGAATCATAAATAAAGACGAATCAAAAAAATCTTTTTCCATTCCCTGTACGTACCTTTCCTCTCTTTTTCTTTCTTTATTTCTTTCTCTCTTTCTCTCTGTTAATGCAGGTACACAGCAGCTAAAGCCAAATCTCCCATCAATTCATATAAAGAAACAGAGCATCCTTTAAAAAAGAATCCTCCAATCTTACCAAAGTTCATCCGCACAAAAAGCAACCCCCATTATAATCAATATCATATATCCCCAAAATTCCATTTATTATGTAGTTTGGGTCACCCCACAAATCCATTTGGGCTCACTACTTGTTTTGTCTTTTATAATTTAAGAAAAGAAAATTGAAACTACATGATTTATTATGAGTCCAGTTTCTTTTTTAATTTAGAGGGAACACTAAACCGTGTCGTAACAGGAAATATATAAAAAAAATTTGAAAATTATGTATGTGTATCCAATCAATGATATTTTATAGAGTTGGCACACAATTAACATAAAATTAACAAAAAATATGATAATTACTCATGTTATAGGATTTTTGTAGATCAACCGGATCCCTTTGATGGACCAGTACATTTAAATATTTTTAGATACTTAATAATTAATCTAAAAAATAATAATAAAACTAAATCAATAATTATTGTGTTTTATCACATTTATCTTAAAAAAAAAAAATAAAGCTGTTCATGAAGACAAATGTAAAAAATTCATATAGTCACAATTACCAAATCAATATAATTTTTTCATAAATAATCGAAAACCTAAAAAATAACACACCAAATCATCACTTGTGGTGGGCCACAAACGGCATGGGACCAGTCTTTTGGCCTAACTGAGAAAAAACAAAGCCCGGTCATTAAATTCGCAATGAAGTAATATGTTTTTTTTAAAAAAATATAAATTAATTATGATAAAATTATATCATTCTAATTATTAAATTATATTTTCATTTTGAAAAATATTTAAAACGTAAAAAGAAAAAAACAAACAAACAAACTCACCCACAATCATACGTTAATTTTTAATTTATTACACATTTAATGATGTAAGATCCAACTATTTTATCACTTCATTATGAATAAATTGATAGATCTAAAATAATGAATCTCTAATATTATTCTTTAATTTTTTATTGTAAATAATCTAAACTCATAATTATAAAAGTGAATCCAATAATTGAATTGGACCCTGAGGTAGGCCAGTAAAACAATATGGTCCAATCCACTAATATAGTGGTTAAAGACCATTATACCCTTCTTAATGCGCTAACTAGTTGGTCATCAAATGCCAAAGCTTTTCTTTGGTGCCCATGGTTTTGCATTCCAAAATTCTGTTACTATTTCCTTTATAAAAATATTTTAAAAATAAGAAGGAAAAAAACCAAACACAAAAACAAAAAGTTCACTTGAAAACAACATTGCATACACACACACACAAGCCCCTTTTAAAGGGATATTCGAATTCAAATACACATGATTTGCAATCCCTATCCCAAACCGTTATAGAAAATACTATAGGCCAAAAATATAACCCACCCCGACATGGAAAATACAAGAAAAAGCAAGGCTCTGTTTGGCTGATAAAAGGATATCTTAAAAGCCACATCCATCCGTTTACAAAAAGTGGGGGAGATATTCCCTTTACAACACCAACCCAACAAACCCCAAAAAATTATTGAGAAAAATATTTGTTTTCATTTTTCTCTTTTCCAACCACCTCCACCCTTCAAAATTGTCACTAATCTAATTTTATAATATAAACAGGAAAAGAAAAAAAAAGGAAAAAAAAAAAGAAGAAAATATATATATTTCTTCCTTTTCTAGGTTCTAAGCTAGCTCTCCATATCATAAGGCTAGAACTCTCTGGGATCAACAAAAATGGACGGTCCAGGTGGTGACTTAGTCCAGTCACCCACAGACCCGTCACTGTAGTCTTCCCCAAGTCTCTTGATGCACCATAGATCCTCGGCGCACGATAGCACCTTCCAGTGTGGGATCCCTAACCTGAGCGGATCGTGACTCGACACCTCCGTCGCCACCACACCACACCCATACTCTTTAGCCAAATTATGTGCGAAGCCAAACAAGGCCTTGGCGTACTTCACAGAAAGTGGGCCTTCACCGCCCAGCCCATACAAAAAGTGAAGCCCAAAGGGCCGAAACACCTCCGGCACCGACGGTAGATTGAGCCACGGCAAGGCCCGGTCCACTAACCTCGTCGTCTTCGCAAAGCCTTTTCTCACGCGCGACGCGCCTCGGACCTCAAGCCGAAACACGTCCTTACAGTTCCACACACTGAGTACAGCCCACGACTGGGGGGGGTTAGCCAGGAACGAGTCCGAACCCGGCCACGACTCAGCTGAGTAAGCACCGCGAGGGACAGCGACAAAGGTACCGAGAGTGAGCTTGTTGTTAAGGACTGACTCAATGTCACGGGGGAAGAACTCAGTGGTGGAGAATCGGCGTCGGTAGAGGGTTTCGGCGTCGGAAGGGGTGAGTTTGAGGACGGTGACTCGGTGGCTGACTCGGACTTGGTGAGCGAACACTGGGTTGACTAGGATCGATGGCGTACGGAACTTGGAATAGCCGCATTTGTCGGTGAAGAGCTTAACGGATGGTCTGTTGTCGTTTTCCGTGGCCATGTATGAGTACTCGGCTCCATTTTCTCTGAACCACGCTTCTATTCTCCGAACCAGCTTCAATCCTATTCCCATTCGCCTACAAAATAAAAATGACTAAAATAATTCAATAATTACCCTTTTTTTTTTAGCAAAATTCTCTTTCCTTTCCATGATTGGGTAATTGGATATGCTTTATTATTATTATATTATATTATATAATACCACTACAACTAAAGAGAATGGGGGAGGAGAGAGAACGATGATATACCTGTGAGAGGGAGAGACTCGGAGGCCTAAGATGTAGGCGACTTTGGTGTAGATAGGGAGTGGTTTGGAGGGATCGTGGCCGTTCTTTCCATTTCTGGAGAATTTCTTGCCGCATGTAACGGTCTTGATGCATCCTCTAATCATTCCAACTATTTCTCTCTCTTGTTTATCTTCTTCTTTTTCAGTATTACCAACCATCACAGTCTCAGCTACCTGATCAACATAGATAAACATGTTTGAGTGTACATATATACATATGGTTATATAATTCTGTCAGTTTGTATATAATTAGTATATGACCAAATGAATGAAAAAACTGGTACTACTACTACTACTACCCCACTCAATATATATAAAAACTGTTCAAACAAAAAGTTTCCCAAAAAAAAAAAGAAAGAGAGAGAGAGAGAGAGAACAGAGGGAGTTTGGTACCAGCATGAGATAGGCAGGAGAGTGGCGGACCCTGCAAATTGGGTCACCCAAGAGGTCGGTGAAGAGAGAGAGCTTCCCACTGGGTCCAACCTCGCACCTCCTCTCCACCTCCTCTATTCCGCCGCAATCTTTTAATCCATCATACTCCCTCACCACCACCACCACCTCACCGCCACCACACTCCACCATCTTCTTCTATACTAACAAGAACTAAAAACACCCAAACTAAAAAAACACACTCCTATCGACTTGTTTTGATCATCCACCGAAACTAATCTTATATAGAAGCAATTTCAGGGCCTAGCAAAAGGATATTTCAGGCAAAGCAATGAAGAAAGTCAATGAAATTTGAGAAACTAAAGGAAAGAAAAGAAAAACTGAAAGGGCTGTTAAGCTTCTGAGGCCGTTTTCTTAGTGAAGTAGTGAGTAGTTCATCATTTGCTATAAGTCTGAAGTAGTGGTCTCTAATGCGAGCCATTAAATACCTGATTTTGGGGCCTTTTTTTTATAGAAAAACAAATTAAATTAAATTAAATTTATCTTTTTATTATTTAGGTTAATATATTTTTTTATTTATTTAAAGGTCCATCTATCTTTCTCTGTATCACTTTTTTACAATAGGACTAGTGTCCAATTAATTAATAATTAATAATGATTCAGGGAAAAGTAGAGGAAGATGCAGAGAAATGGCGGCTGTGGCTGCGGCGCAGTCTTGTGAGTGTGGGGGTGCTAGTGGTGGGTGTGGTTGATGTTTTCTTTCTCTCTCTAAAAAAAATTTTAATCATTAATTTCCATAGAAGGAGGCGTCGCTTTCATGGCCCCATTTGTAATCATTACTACGTTTCCTTCCTTCAATATACTATGTATGTATATATATTTACTATTACATTACCATCTTCCCATATATATGCATCATACATTACCATCTTCCCATATATATGCATCATCTATCATCATTATAATCATAGCCATGTCACTTCATGTTTATACATGGATGTTTTGAAAGGGTGATTAAACGTTGACTTTTTAAATTTTTATTTTAAAAATTGTATAAAAATTTATGAGAGATAATTTGATTTAAAATAGATTAAAATTAAAAAATTATTTTTAACCCACTTTTCAAAAAAAGATACAGTTACTCCTTGTGTTTTATTTCTCGCTATCTGGTTTGAGAATGAATTATTTTAATTTTTTATAAAATAATATATTAAAATATAAAGAAAATAATAGAAAATTTTATAATAATTTTTGACTATTTTACTAAAATGTTACTCCCCCGACGAAGCATTATGCATTTTAATTCCAAAAAAAAATTCTAGAAATTCTATAAAATTTATCAAAAAATTAACATAACACTCACATGAGTACAAACTTATTTTGTAGGACTTTTGTGGATCCTACATCTAAAAACTTAAAATTTTCAAATGAATTATTAAATAGGGGCTTTTTTGCAGTTTGTTGTTTGGCCCATGGGATTCACCATGGGTCTCATTTTGATTATTTTGTAAGATTTATGCGGATCCTACGTTTAAAAAGTTAAAAATTCTAAATGAATTATCAAATAGAAGGTAACTCTTTGATGAAGAAGCAAAACCATATAACGGAGGAAATAGAAAGAGAAAATATCTATATTTGATATTTAGTTCATTTCAGATCTATATGATCAAGTTTATTATTTATACACAAAATATCTAACTGATATCTAATTAATATCTAAATGATATCTAACTGCATTGGAGCTTGCTATAAAAGAATTAATATGATGTTGCAACTCTATTGTATTGTGATGCAACTACAAGCCCAATTGAACACCTTTTATATCTAACTAGCCTCAGCATGCCCACCAGTCATAGCTACAGCTACAACTGCAGTAACTTGGGACTTGGCCTCTGCTTCTTTAGACCCAGTAGAGTTATCAGCCCCCATCAAGCTGAAGGGTGGAGGACCAACCAAAAGCTTTGACTGTAAGAAAAGAAACCAAGCCACAGGTAAGGATTTAGTAAAGATATCAGCAAGTTGGTTGAAAGAAGAAACATACCGGATGAGCAACTGCTTGGCTAAGACCTGCTTACGAACAAAATGATAATCAATTTCTATATGCTTGGTCCGAGCGTGGAAAACTGGATTAGAGGCCAGAGAGAGAGCGGATAAATTGTCACACCACAACACAGGTACAGAGGAAGGAAAAATATGCATATCACGAAGAAGCATTTGAAGCCAAGACACCTCTGCACTGGATTGAGCCATAGACCTATATTCAACTTTTGTGGAGGATCTAGCCACTATGGGTTGTTTCTTAGCAGCCCAAGACACCAAATTAGAGCCCAAAAAGATGCAAAAACCAGTAGTAGACCGTTTGTCAGTAGGACTGCCAGCCCAATTAACATCTGAGAACACATGAACATCAAAAGAACTAGGAGAGAAGGATAAGCCATGATGTAAAGTGCCTTTGACAAATCCGAGAATCCTTTTGACAACACCCAAATCCTCCTGAGTGGGATTATGCATATGCTAACAGACTTGGTTGACAGCAAAAGCCAAATCAGGCCTAGTGATGGTTAAGTACTATAGACTCCAACAAGACTTCGATAGAGAGCAGGATTAGAGCAAGGAACAGAAAAAGGAGAAGAAGATGAGGAAGCTTTAACAGAAAAAAAGATAAGAAGTAGGCTTACAGTCAGACATGCCAGCTTTGTGAAGAAGAGTAGAAACATAATGAGATTGTGATAAAAAAAAAGTACCAGTAAAATGAGAGGAAATTGAGATGCCTAGGAAATAAGAGAGAGATCTCAATTCTTTAAGGGAAAAAGCTTTATGTAACTAAGAAATGAGAGACTAAATATGAGAGGAAGAATTGCCTGTGTAAACCGTCCGAACTCGCTCCGCGCGTGAGGGCACGAATTGGGTTCTAGCTACTACAGTTCGGGCTCTTGTCACAGTTCTGAATCTATTCTCACAAAGTGCAATGTAAGACTGATAAATTACCATAGAGTCCAAATTCGGCAAATTATTTTGGAAAATCGATTTTAATAAAAAAGCTCCAAACATGGACTGCTTTGCCAGATTTCAGAGTCACCACCTAAATATTTTGTTTTGAAAAATTTAGGAAACCTACCTTGTGCCTAAGGCCACGTGTCCGTCATCACCAAAATTGCCTCGGCTCGGAAACTTGGGTACAAAAGGGGAAGGTCATGAAATGAGCACCCCCCGCTCGCCCGATCAAAGGATCGGCATCTACTAATCATGATATGTTGTTTTGAAAACACATGTGTTTTTATTCCGATTTATTAGCTAATTTACTATTTGATGCACACAGCATACAAGTATAGACTAAATCACTCAATTTGGAACAAAAACATCTCATGTTTGTTTTTCAAAAATAGTTTGAAAATGCTACTCCCAAGTAGGCTAAAGCGCGGATTTGCCACCAAACAAGGTGGGCTTAAAACATGGTGATTTGCCACTTCAAGTGGGCTTAAAAACTCACATTTTGATGAATTGTCCCAATTCAAGCAATTAAGCCTTCGTTCACAGGCATTCATGTAGTTATATCCATTAAGCAAATAGTCTCATGGCAAGCATGCTAAACATGGTAATATACACATCTCATGCAATATGCTAAAGCGTAAACACTTACAGTGTATTCCGAGCCAAAACAAAAGCTAATTAGAAACCAGTGCATGATCCTAACTATGTTAAGTGCCTAATGCAACACATGCAAAAATGCAACTAAAATAGACTCGGCTATCTAAGATGGTATATGAATGCAACACTTTGTAACATGCTTTGAAACACGTATTTAAGTAGGTATTGAAATTCAATGCAGTTTGAATGATGCGCTGAGCCCGGTGCATGCAATGCGAATGAATGATGCATGCATGCAAAGCATAAGTATGCTAATTGAAACATGCCCTAAAACTAACCATTGAAAACGGGTAAATAAAAGGGAGAAAGACGTGGGGTTGGATGACATTCACACACACACGCACACTTATTACAACATTTGCCCTCTCGACGGATGGTCCGAATAATAAGCTAACTAGCTACGCTAATTAAACTAATTATTACAAAACAAATCGATTAATTAAGTACAAAATCGACGAATTAGTTAACTAAGTAAGGCAGCTAAAGCAGTTAAAAGAGGTCCTCGGGGGCGAAGGGTGCATGCATGCTTGATCGCCTCGCTCGGAAATCTATTGCTATGCCCAGAATTGTCTCTGTTTGTATTTGATTTGATCTCTGAAAAGTGCACTAACTTCCAGATTGCTTTTGCTCCAACATGGGGACTTCCTGGTGGGCTGTCGACCAGAAAAAGTGGTCGGTCGACCACCCTTACTGGTCGGCCGACCAGTTTGTTTGCCAAGCTCCAACTTTGCTGCAACAGAGAACAACAAGGGGCATAGTAGTGTATTTGCAAGATATGTGTGCACAACCACCCTCCCTATCATTTCTCAAGCTCAAGGGAGTGCGGTACTCGACTCTCGGGCCACCAACCGAGCATCACAATGCACGATGGCCGAGAAGCCAAGTTTGCAGAAGTCAATGTCAATGAATGCACAAATAACACATAAGGGCCTCCATCTCTATCATGCTTGATCAAGAGGGTCGGCGACCAAGACATGCTACACGTTTCATCACTTTGAGTATGAAATGTGCGACATTCCTCGTGTTTGGATTAATGTCCAATCCAAACACATGCAACGCAAACAAGATGATCAACCTTCAATGCTAAAGTGACGTGCGTAAGACTCTATCATGTAAGCAATGCATGCATGGCATGTTTAAAAGCTAAGGCATCGAAGCTAATGAAACATATTACACATAAGGCATGCACTATCAATCTCAAATGGTCAAACCAACCCCGAACAGAGGTCGAACATGCCAAAATAGTGGCTGAAATATGTTAAGATCAAAGCATATAACACAAGAAGAACATGTTCATTTGATGGCTCATTAACAATGCACAAAGACACAACTCTCAAAAGCTCTCAAGGAATGAAAGAAGTGAGAACATAACACACGTACATGCTCTGAAATAACATGTTAAACGATGCCCAAATATGCAACCATCACAAATATAGCGTAGTAGGGTGCTCAAAACTCAAGACTAGCTAGGGTACTTGCACCATAGCCATATAAAGCAAGCCCTGAAGGGCCAAGATGACTCAAAACAGTTCCAAGGCAGGTCAGAACAATGCCAAAACATGCATGGAGTAGAGCTAACACATGTTAGAATGGGAGGCATAAAACATGACGCATGCAAGGCCAATGAGTAGGATTACACTACACACACCAAAACCAAGCATGAAGTGACTTTACCAACAAAAATCAGAGTTGCAACATGGTAAAATAACACCAAAAGCACGCTGAGATGGTAGCCCAAAAGCTTAGGCAAGCATGCATACGTATTGGCTCATAAGTGAAGCATAAGGCTCAACCCT